TGGTTGGTACAGAGATTAAACTTGGGGCACTTTGCCACTGAGCTATATCATTTTAATTTTTTGAGACAGGGTCTTGCTAAGTTGTTAAGGCTGTCCTCAAACTTGTGATCCTCTTCCTAAGCCTCCCAAGTTGCAGGGGTCACAGGCATGTGTGTGTGTGTGTGCGCACACGCGCTCCCGCACACGCGCTCCCACACCTAGCTTCAGCTGTTTTTTTTTTTTTTTTTTAATAAGTTTGTAACGTTTTCCCAAGGCTTGACAATTGTGGTATAATAGAGATATGTTTGGTCCTTATCCCTGGTTCCTATCTAGAGGCAAAATTCCTGGAATTTTCAGAGTGGTAGGAATATCTTCTGTTATTTATACTGAGCCCCTTTGATAAGTCTGACTTATGCTAATGAGCTTCTGGATGGGCCATTCCACTTGTTGGCGACCTAGAGATGATAGAACCAATTAGATTGTTTGAAATTTCAGCCCCACCCTCTTCCTCTGGGAAGGTGTAGGAGCAGGAAAACATGCTCCATTAAATACTCTTCAGATTTGATGAGCTTCCGGGTTGCTGAACACATGGTAGTGCTGGGAGGCCGCACAGGCCCAGGGAAGGCGCTAGAACTCTGTGTGCCCTCTCCCACTCTGCCTCCCTCTACCCATCTATCTAAATGTATCCTTTATAATAAACTGCCAAACTCTTTCCTGAATTTTATGAACTGTCCCGGAAAATAATTCTAACCCAGGAAGAGGGTTGTGGGAACCTAGGTTTACAGCTGGTTGGTCAGAAGTATGGGGGGCTAGGACTTGGAATTGGCATCTGAAGTGATGGCGGTTTCTGGGACTAAATCTTCAACCCATAAGATCTGACAGTTTCTCCAGGTAGATGGTGTCAGAAGTAAATTGGAGGACCTCAGGCTGGAGAATCCACTGAAGGCCAAGCTCACACGTGCTGTGAGTGAGTGGAGAGTAGAGGGTACAACAGTCTGAGTTTTCTTATTTTGCTCTACAACAGAGTAGACCTTTTATCTCCTCCAAGTCAATGATACTGAACTGCTTCCAGTATAGTAGCAGATGGATAGAAAACATTGCCATCGTGCCATCTCTGGCCTTCAAACCAGTTCTGGACCCAGAGAAATGATGTACAAATTCACATTGTCAGGTGTGAGTTGGCTCCTGGAGATTTTGATTTATTAGGTCCAGATGGTGCCCAGGAATGTGTATTTTAAAGCCACTCCTCTCCCTACCAGGCTCTCTTCTTCCCATGATCTGATTCCAGGTTTGGAATCCAATGGCCTAGAGGTTTCCTAAAGAAGAGAGGTAAATCTTAGCTCAAGAGGTAGTAGAGGGGTGAACTTGAAAACAGTACGAGAAACGAAAAGCCAGCCACAGAAGACCACATTCCGTGGTTCCTTTTATATGAAATGTCCAAAGTAATCAAATGGTGTGAAAGAGCTTCTGTAAACTAATGGGTGTCACATAATTCGTGCATCATCATATGTGTAAGGTAGCTGAAAAGTTGGTCAGAGCCACCACTCCATGGTCCCTTCAGACTAAGTGACATTAAGTCATACTTGTTATTAGATGGTGAGAAGAGAGCCTGATGTTGTACCCCCATCCCACTCCCAGGGGTGAAGAGGGAAAAGAACAGCCATTCTTCTTATTTCATCTGGTATCAGGGGTTACTTGAAGGGGAATGGGTGAATGGCAAGTGACTGCTGATGGTTTTAGTTTCCTTCTTGGGTAATGAAAATGTTTTGAACTTTGATTATGGTGATAGTTATACAGGTATGAATTGTTTTGCTCGAATTCGGGACCCCCAAAAGATCACCAGAGACCAGGATTGATGTAAGCAGCAAAGAGGTGTTTATTGCGAGCTAGCTCGATCCTCCGGGCGCACACAGCAACTGGTGATGCTGAGAGGCCCCGAGCCCAGGATTTGCAGCAGTTTTATACACTCTTTAGGGAAGGCAGGGACTTCACATACATCATAGCTTCTCTTAGAAAATCATCACACACCACGGGAAAATCGTAAAACAACTCTAAAACATGATTAGCACAGTCACTGGCGGGAACAAGTTGGGTAGGGGTGATTGGCTAGTACAAGAGGAGGAGTCGTTTGAACTGATTGGTTTAGGGGAGTATGTGCTAAACTGCATGGTTTCCCAACATGTTATCAACCACCATAAACTACTGGGAGGGTCATCTGACATCCCAGGTATTTTCCTGGGATGCTGATGTGCCTAGGAGTGCTCTGTGGGGCTTTCCAAGGACAAGGGTCACACCCCCTTCCTTAGGGGACAGGCTTTGCTCTGAGGTAGAGGCTGGTTTTCCAGAATGGACTACAATTCATTGATTTCTGCTCCTTGGAAGGGTGAATTATATCTCAATAAAGTAGTTTTTTAAAACTAGGCGATAAGAAAGGGAGAGGTTAAAAATATTTTTTAAAATTGGGAGGGGACAGTTGGGAAAACCAGAAAAAAAGGCCGCAAATGGAAGCTTAGAAAGAGGCTCTTTAAAAATGCTTTTTATTTATTTTGTTCGCACATACAAACACACAATCTCTAGTTTTCTGAGAGTTATAATTCTGGGAATTCCAACTCCTGGAATACTGCCCTATAAAAAAAGCAGGCTTGGGGCTGGGATTATGGCTCAGCGGTAGAGTGCTCGCCTTGCATGTGCAAGGCCCTTTGTTCGATCCTCAGCAACACATAAAAATAATAGATAAATAAATAATAAAGTTATTGTGTCCAACTATAACTACAAAAAATAAATTTAAAAAAAAAGAAGCAGGCTTAAGAGAAAAATAACCTTTGGGGTCCCCTCTAAGCCATGGCCAGAACCTATTGGAAGACAATAGTATTAGAGAAAGAACTAAAGACCAGAAATTTAAAGTACAGTGTTTGGAAGGAGTTTCGTAATGAAAAATGAAACTATTTTTCACAAATTTTACATAATGAGTCCAGCTGAGCTAAGGCTTAAGATCAGTAACAGGTGTTCTCTTCCTCTTTGGCACAGGCATGGTGTAGATATATAAATGCAGGTGGAGATACAGTTTGTTGGAAAGCACAGTAAGATCGCCTGTGCCTATGTTCAGTTTCCACGGTAATAATGACACTGTTGGTTTGTAAACATAACCAAGGGCTTCATCCTTTTTATTAATGGCTTTCTGGGTTCTTTGGTATTTGTTATCACTGCAGCTCTTCTTTCTATTTGGTGTTAATGGGTCTGATGTGTCAGATTCTCTCTTATTTGTCACTGACTTTGATTTTGAGTATAGCGGTCGCCAGTATCACTTCTGAAGGCTTCCTGGGAGCCCATTTATTTTGCAAGATTTGTAGTTTCACTTCACGACTCATTTGTATCTGTGAGAGTCTGATAGAAACTGATGTTAATTATTAATTATGGAGGAAATAAGTCAGAGAATTAATCTTATAAGTGGAGACTTTATTAATGAAAGCTTTTATTTAACAGTTCTTGCTTTCCCAGTCAACTGTGTGCCCCAGACGATGAATCTTTGTGCAAAAATGAGGTGTCTGTATTCACTGGGGTGCTAGTTAAATCTTACTGTTTATTATACAATTTTAAAATGTGATCACCTCTTCTAAACATGCCAGAAGTAAAGTAGGGAGGTGAGCAGGATAGAGTGAGGTGGAGATTAGAGGCAGGGGCTGACTTCCTGATAATAAGGGCTCCTTTAATTCCATCTACCCTGGAAAGGGATAGTAATCTCAGTAGTACTGCTAACTTGGGTTGGCTCTGTTACTCCAAAGTCCACAAGCTTCTAAAATTTTATTTTACTGCCTTTCTGGCTGAGGGTGGAGTAGGTGTGGGGTGCAGGGTTTGATATCTAAAGGTGTCTCTTTTTTTCCTTTTTTTATTTTATTTATTTATTTATTTATTTATTTTTTTGCAGAGCTGGGGATTGAACCCAGGGGTATTCTACTGCATCCTCAGGCCTCTTTTAAAATTTTTTGGTAATTTACTTTGAGACAGGGTCTTGCAAGTTGCTGAGGCTAGACTGCCTCTGCCTCCCAAGTTGCTGTGATTATAGGCATGTGCCTCCACATCCTGCTTTTCATTTATCTTGTCAGTCTTAATTCTGCACTGATACCAAATGAAATGTCAAGATATTGCTGTTCTTTTCCCTCTCCACCCTTAATATTGAAGGAGTGGGGGGCAGGAAGGCACAACACCAGGCTCTCTTCTCACCATCAAATAACATAGGTGATTTACAACTTAATGTAACTTAGTCTGAAGGGATCATGGAGTAGTGGCTCTGGTCAACTCTTCAGCAACCTTAATATGTATGATGATAACCGACTTGTGTGATGCTTATTGGTTTACAGATACTCTTTCACACCAGAAATTGCACAATTCCTGTAACTACACTGTGAAAGCCCTGCCCAGTGTCATACACCTGTAATCCCAGTGGCTCAGGAGGCTGAGACTAGAGGATCACAAGTTTGAGGCCAGCCTCAGTGACTTAGCAAGGCCTTAAGTAACTTAGTGAGATTCTGTCTCAAAATAAAAATGGCTGGAGATGTAGCTCAGTGACAGAGTACCCTGGATTCAATCCCCAGTTCCAAAAGCAGAAAACCATGTCCTCATTTAACCAGTGTACTTGGGCTTAAGAGTCTGAAAGGGAATTGAATGGCATTATGTATCTAAAACCTTCAGACCCAGGTCTTGTGCTACACTGCTTCTTTTCTTGAAGGACTTCAACTACAGTAGCCTTACCAACATCCCTTTTTTAGTTGTAAGAGAGCCTGTGAACATTTCCCTCCATGATGGCCGCTGGACTGGTTGACTGTATTTAAAGGATATGTTTTAATGACATTTTAAAATCACAGTGCCTTAAAACTATACCATAATATAAATTCCTATGGGTAGCAGTTTTTGTCCTTTTACTTTCTAATAGTTAATTATTAATTTACTATTAATGATTTAATATGGGTTGGTTTAAAATGTAAGCCTATGTATAATCTACCTTTTTTTTTTTTTTTTTTAAGTCCAGCCTCTGTACGAAGCTGAAATCCATCACCATCATTCAAAAATGCAATGGAATCTACCACGGACTGTGTCTCGGCTGGCACACAGGACATGCTTGGAACCACAGAAAACTGGTCTCTTTGGACACCGCCAGAACTTAAAGGGACCATTACTTTTGAATAACACTGAATCTAAAGTAGTTTGGGTTGAAGATCCTCAAAAGCAATGGCTCCACTTACCTGCTGCCCAGTGCCTTGCAAAGGAGAGGAAGTCATCGGGTACTCAGATACCCCGACAGGGGGTCCTTTGCCAAGAACAGTGGGAACAGGTGGTTTTGTCCAAGAGGGTTTTGTCGTCCAGTGCCACAGGCAAAGGGACTCCTTCAGAAAAAAAGGAAGAGCTTGATCCTTTACAAGACAAATCTATTAGTCTTTATCAGCGATTTAAGAGAACATTGAGGCAATATGGGAAAGTTTTGATTCCTGTGCATCTAATAACTTCTGGTATTTGGTTTGGAACATTTTATTATGCAGCCATAAAGTAAGTTTTGCTTGATTGACTGCCCTTCACTAATTTATTAGAATGGTCATCTTACTTTTAGTCTTAAATATATATTTTTAATGCTTTAGTTTCTTTCATTGATAGAAGCTAATTGCTTTTTGTAGCTGTTTTTCACATTTTACTAAGAATGACTAATGTTTGCTTTCTTCGCACAGGCATTTTGCTACATTTTCTGCATCATCTCATTTAATTCTCATGGTGATTTAATGATATAAATAGTGCAATTTTTTCCTTTTTATGAATGAAACCAATAACTCCAGAGGTAGAACCTGGACAGAAACCCCAGTCAGGTTCCTCACTGCTGTGCTGACGTCATCTGCACACATCAGAGTCCAGAAGTAAAGTACCAGTCTCAGAAATTTGGTAGCACTATTAGTTCCTTACTTAACATATTTCTTACAGTGTTTAAAAATCTGGAAAGATACCTGTCTTCTTGGATGTGTGGTTTTGGTGGGAAATTCCAAAGCCTGTCTACTATTTGTTGTTTACGCAAAAAAATGGAACCACTGACAGACTTGGGCTCTGACATTACTCATCCAAGTAAGTGTCAGGGAAGGGCATCTTGTGATCAGAAGTGAATCTGGAAGGCATGGCTTCCTCCCAGTTTTGTAGAACACAAAATCTCTTAAGTCCATCATTCTTTAAGTTAAACACAGTTCCTTTTATGGTAAGGTGTATTTGTGGTGCTATGGCTGGTGGTGCATAAGCCACCAGCGCTCATGTCCTGGCAGGGCCATGTGCCTGGCCTCGGGAGCCAGAGGGATGGCTTTACCGCTTCATTCAGCTCTCTTGATGGACTTAGAATTACTTTACCCTTCCCAGAGTCCACTGGCTTTCAGCATTCTGTTTTACTTCATGGTTTGGTGTTGAGGCAGTAATGAGACACAGTGGCTGCAAATGGGAAGCTGTCCTTGGCAAAGCATACTGCCTCCCAAGATGGTGGAATGGAGTCTGCTTATTGGGAAACATGGGGTTCCAGATGCCTCTTAGCACCAGTTCTGAAAGGATGGGCTTTCTTTATCTTGTATAATTGACGCTGTTCTCTTCCTCTTCATAAAGAATTGTTCTTTCTGAAGAAGAACTTTGTATACTTTATGGAATTATTTCTTTGTTTATTAATGACATTTTCTGAACATGTTTAATATTTATAGAACTCTTCAAAACTGCCCTTAGGTTTTTGGCAGAACATAAAATTTATACCATTTTTAAATAAAAGTTATTATAGGCATTCAGTCCCACATGATTCTACACAGTGAATTTTTTTCTTGAGCCACTAAGGATTCTTTTGAAAGAAGTTTTGATACTTATTTGTTCCTTCTGGCCTTAGAGGGAGAAAACCTAAGGTTTTAATTAATTGGATACAAGATCCTCATTTGGGCTAATAAAAATAATTATTTTATTGCTGCTGCTTAAGATTTCTTCAGGTGAGGCAGTTGTGGGGGATGATTCTGTCATCTCTTATGAAATACACCCTCTTAGCTTCATCCCTTCTCCTCTTTTTCTGCAGAAGACTTCTGTCTAACCATGGTGGTCAAACTGACCACTTCATAACTGTATGCCTTAGCCGGCAGTGCTGCCAGCCTTTACTCTGGCTCAGTTCTGGTACAGCCTCCCCTGGCTGAGTGATGGAACCCGGGATCCTGGCTAAGTAACAGGACACGGGGTCTGATGCCTCCAGAACCATCCTCCTTAGTGTTTTTACTAGATACATAGACTTCAAAATAAAGATTGATGTGTTTTAAGTGAAGACTTAATCGCAAGTAATAATTAGAAAATAGAACTCATTGATGAAATTTTAAAAATTAGGATATGTTCAAATTGCAGATTATTTTTCACTGAGAGATTATTTTATTGCAAAATAGAAATTAATTGTATTAAATATAGTTTTTTTAATCCAGCCACCAAGAGGCTAGCTATATTTTAGGAAGGCCCCACACACCCCCAACTGGAAAAATGTCTGTTGTATGCTTGTTACTTAATATTAAAAGATTAGTGGCTGGAAGGATGAGCATCTGCCATCAGGCAGCATTACTGATCAGGTTTGTCTCAGTTACTCAGCAGCCAGCATGCTGCCTTTCTAGGCACCAGAGAGCACAGTGTTGTTCTATATTTAGTTAGAAAGTTCTGAGGCTTTTGAAATACTTTATTTTAGGAGCAGCTAAAGTAAAAGATTGTATTTTGTGTTGAGCTTTGTTGCTGCCTGTGTCCTCTGACCAGCAGAAGAATTCTTCTGATCAACACGACCCAGTAGTGACAGTGTTGCCCCTGCCTTTAGAAGCCTGTATCTGGGGGCTCTTTCTGGTTCCTAAAGGTGCAGATGCACACTCAGCCAGGGTCCAGGCTGATGTGCACTGTACGCTCTCCAGGCAGTGAATGTGCTTTGACCTGTGCGTCTTTTGAGCCACCTGTAGAGCTGCCAGGCTATGGGAGCTTCAGAGTAGAAGGTGACAGTGGGCATTCCTGTTTGACTTGGACCTTCATTAACAATGTGCTTATTTCCTTATCAGTAGCTTGAAATGTTATACCTTGTGCAAGGTGTGTGTTTGTTATCTCATTTTTATGATAAAGGAGTTTTTTTTAATCACTTGGGTTGGTTTTTTTTTTCCAATTGTATCTTTTTTCCTTCATTTTATGATGTTAAATGTATAAATTTTATACAATGGGATTAATTGGAAACTAGGAAATAATTAAATAATTTCATAATGGTGTTGGTGGGTGATAGAAGAATAAAAGTAGCTTGTTATGGCAGGATGTTACCACATAGCTACTCTAGTGACTTGGTTAGATCCATATACAAAAGCCAGCTCTAGTGGCAGACCTTACCTTAGTGGGAGGTGTGGTAGCTTTTTCACAGCTATGGCACATACTAAGCAGATCTGCATAGAGCAGGGAAGGTTTATTTTGACTCATGGCTTCAGAGGTTTCAGTCAGTGGCCTGGCTCCAAGGTGGAAGCATGGTGGGACAGAGTGACAAAAGAGGGTTGTTCAGCTCATGGCAGCCACAAAGTAGAGAGCAAGGAGAGACAATCGTAGTCCCCAGGGGCACGTTCCTAAGGCCCTACTCCAGCTAGGTTTCACCTCCCACTAATGTAATCACATTATTAATTGGTCAATGGATTGATCCACTGATGAGGTCAGAGTCTTCACAATGTATTCACTTTCTTAAATCCCCACCCACCTCTGAACACTGCTGCCTTGGAGACCCAGCCTTTAAGAACCAGCACCTGCGTCTTTGGGGAACATTTTACATCCAAACCATAACAGGGTATTATTATTATCTAGAAAGAGATTTGGAAAAGAATTAAAGGTGCAGATAGACAAAATCAGATTGAACTTAAGAGTTGATTTTAAAATTTACCTCCAGATGTTCCTTCCACTGTTCAGATTTCCTTTTATTTTTTATAATAGGTAATTTTAATGGTCCTTCCTTGATGTCCATCAGCAATGTCTACTGAAAGTATTCTCTGGTCACTTAGTATCATTGGTGAAATCACAAAAGAGCTACACCTTTTCTCTAGTTCATCAAATTATTCTTTAATATTAAAAAAAGAAATTTATAATGACCATGATAAGGGTCGGGCAATTCCCTTTTCTGATGAAAGAGGGTAAGACACAATCATAGAGTAGCCATCTGGGGCCCTCCTTAACCAAGAGGAAAGCTCAGAAACACCAAGAGTGGGATAGAGGGACGTTATGTTCCCCTTGCAGTGACGCTCCAGCTGGACACAGTTCCACCTATCAATGTCCTGGGGGAGATGTCAACCTGAGGCCAGTTATGAGAACACAATCACAGAAACCCAAACTGAGCAGTGCCATACCTGCAGCCAGCTGCCTGCTTCAAGTTACCAGTGCCAAGAAAGAAATCCTGGAAACATGTCCGGGAGGAAGGAGACTAGAACAAGGGAAAATAGGACAATTTAGGGGATTTTAATGTAGATTTTGTATTCACTTACCACATACTATTGTGTGTGCTAAATTTCCTAAAGGTGATGATTACGTTAAGTTTACACAGGTGAATGTCCTTGTTCTGATTTGGGATGGAGGTTTGTAGTGTCTGCAAAACCTGTGCACTGAGAGAGTGGGATGATAAGGGCAAGTGAAGTCAGGAAACTGAAAATGCCCATGCTGGTGCTCGACAGCTCAGCATGGAGGCCCGTCTCCCCCTCCCCTCCAAGAATTCATTGCAGTGTGTAGTAATTGTTCTTTACCTGCCTTTCAGGTCTTAGAATAGAATCATCCTTTTAGAATAATTGAGTTTCCGAAAACCCACAGAATCATTTATTCTCTGTGTAATAGCACAATAAGTGATATTAAAATATTCTTTGCTCTTATGATAATAAGACTTGACATGAAATGTTAAAGGTAAAAATCTTATGTCTTGAAATGAGAGTTGGGTCATTGTAAGGAAGTAATATTTGGGTGAGGAAACAAAGATCAAGTAAACGACTCTGAGCCTTCTCTTAATTTACTTAAAGCTATTGATTTTGCTCTAATAAATGCTTCTACTTGCTAAATATGCTAATTAGGACATCTGTGTTTAGATGGTGAGACATGGCACTACTCAGAGGCTTGTGTGGCTACTGTATATTGTGTTTTGAATAAGATGTTGTCTTAGAAGTGCTTAATAATGCAGAATTAGCTTTTAAACAAAATTTATAAACAAATTATGGTAAATTTGTGGTTGTGTGTTTTCAGATAATCTCTGAAGGCTTTTTATGTATAACTTCCTTGTGCTTCTCTCATAGAGGAGTGAATGTCATTCCTTTTCTGGAGTTCCTCGGGCTGCCTGACAGCGTCGTGAACATCCTGAAAAACTCCCAGAGTGGAAATGCCCTGACGGCATATGCCATGTTCAAGGTGGGTGCCACGGCGGACAGCGTCCCTCCCTGTGAGACTGCCTGTCAGCTCTTCATAGTTCTTGTGACTTAAGTTGCCTTTACATGTCTGATGAATAACTCAAGTCATACAGTTTCCAAGTACAAATAAAATTATGGCTCTAGGAGAAGTGCCTAAGAAAAGCTGGACCGTGACCTGCCATGGTAGGCCACTGGACGGCTGTGTGTTTTCAGGGCGTTCTGGGTAGTTCCCCTGTTGACACTTTTGTCTTTTCTTCATCAGAGCTCCATAGGCTACCTGACGTGTTAGCAGGAGTCAGCATGTAGCCTCCTATTTACAGTAACTCACCTTTTGTAATGTAGCTCACCTTTTCTTAGTAAATGAAATAGTGAAGTTTAATTGAAATTGTTTTATGTGAAGAACTTTTCTTAGATTTGTCAGATGTCCTTTTACACATGAATGATCTGTAACTGCTCTGGATTCAGACAACATTGTGACTCTAGTTTCTACTCAAACAGGTCTTTATTTTGGAAGGAAAGGCTCCTTGTAAATTGTGACATTTAGCCAAATTAATCTCATTTTGTTTAGTTCACAAAATCTTATGAGGTTCTGTGATGCTTCTACCTAAGGGAAGAAAACAGGTAAAAAAATGTTTGGAAATTAGATGTTATTTTATTTCTATTGTATAAAAATGCCTTGAATTAGAATTTATAGTATTATTCAAAAATAGCATTGTTTCATTCTGTCATCCTTATTAGAGTCCTCTGAAATTTTAGATTTCCTTTTATAATAATGACTTGAGGGCCAAAGCTTAATTGCTAGCGTTTTTCTACATTAAAATGTATTAAATTCATAAATTATCAAGTTTCTAATTACATGAGTATAATTTAGCCTTAATATACCAAACTAGCATGATGACAATTTAAGCTATTTCCCTGATCCTCTTTGTTCCTTGTCCCAGGCACCTGTATCCTCTCTTTAAGTTCATGTCAGTCTCTGTGAGGTTTTCTTTTTAAGTGCTTGTTTTCTTTATTTGATTATGAGCTTCAAGGAATTCAGGATCATATCTTCATTCTCTTTGTTTTTACTATTCCTGAGACTGCATTTTGTAGGCAGAACCGTGCTCAGCCTGGGTTTAGGAAGCAGAGACTGACTGGTGCAGTGGTGTGGGCTGGGAAATGAGGGGACTTTCCTAAGTGTTTTCTGTAACGAACAGTTTCCCAAAAAGGACAACAGGCAGAGATGTCTTGCTTCCTCCAGTCAAAGCCCCAAAATGGCGTGTGGCCAAGGCGAGGAAGGTGCACACCTGAGCTCCCTCTTGCTCATTAAATGCACCTATAGTTTCATGGGTCAGACTCACCAGCCCCTGCTCTGAACCAAGTGCCATCTTCTTAGGTATTGGGCAAACACCAGTTAAATACAACAGCACAAAATACACCTGTCTGTGCAGAGCATAGACTTCAGTTGTGTGGGGACAGACTGGGGAAGCATTTGGAGAGACGAAAAAGATTAAGTTAAAAATGTAGACACACAGTGTGTGCAGCATTTAGATGGTGGTAAGTGCTAAGAAGAAAGAATTAACCATGAACGGAGTATGTGATGTATTTTTGTGTGTGTTTTTGGAGGCAGGGGTGCAATTGTAGAGGGAAAGTGCCACTCAGAAGTTCAGAGCGTGGTCAGGCAGCTCCAAGGGAGAAGTGTTCCAAGCAGAGGAAACCACAAGGGCCAAGTCCTGAGACTGTAGAGACTGGGGGTGTTTGGAGGCTAGTGGGAAGCCATTGTGCCTGGAATGAGTGAGTGTGAGAGAGATGAGAGAAGCCAGGTCAGTAGGCACTTGGGCACTATTGTGAGGACTTCAGCTTTGCTTCTAAGGGCATGGAAAGTTATTGGGCAAGTTTAAGCACTTGATCTGTTTCAGCAAAATCACTTGGACTGCCATGCCAATAGGCAAGAGCAGGGTGGAGGTAGGGGGAGCTGGCGTGAAGCTGGTGCAGTGGCTAGGCTGGAGTTCCGGTGGCCAGGTACCTGTGGTGGAAGGAGAGGCTGTCAGAAATAGATGGATTCTGGATGTATTTTGAAGGAGCTAATTGGTTTTTCGGATTGTTTGGATGCAACTTACATAAGAGAAAGGGGAGGGTGGTCTAAGCTATCTCCTTGGTTTTTGGCCTCAGCAACTGTGATGGAAAAGACTGAGAGGATCAGGTCTGGATGGACAGTTGAGATCCACAGGTGAGTTTTGAGTATTAAGTTTTGGGATCAAGTCGACATGCAAGTGGAAATGAGTAGAATATACTAGAAATTCATGGAAGGGGTTCAGTCTGGGGATGAAAATTTAGGAATTCTCATTGTACAGATGGCACTAAAGATATGAAAGTGGACAAGTCAGCATAGGGATGAGAAAGGAGAAGAAAGGGAAGGTCTGGGGACCTCGAATTGTCATGCTGTGCTCAAACACAAGTGTACAACAGGCATCCACAAGCTGACAGGAAGCCAGGTGGGGTGGTCCTGGCACTCTGTGCAAGATGCACAGAGGAGCTGCCCCCCGGGGAGGGGGGGTCGTCAGGCTGAGCTGGGGCTGATTATACTTGACAGTGGGTTTGGTTTCCTAGAAGTTTGGGAGCTGATGCAAGTGGGTAGTGGGGAGGCCATGTGGGAGCCTGCCAGAGTCAGGGCAGGGGCAGAGAGCGTTTGCGCAGCTCTCTTGCAGCTGGATCCACATGTGATGGCAGCCCCTTTGCCTGGATGAGTCCCTTCAGCCAATTCATCTCCTGTTTGGTTACAGTCCTTAAATCTCTGTGACCTCACGGAATCTCCTGGCTAGACTTCTAAGCTTTAGGTGAATTGTGAGGAGAAAGTAGCATTCAGCCTGGAAGAGTCAAAGGAGCAAGGAGCAGGATGTGGAGTGAGACTAAATCCAGCAGAGAAACCTTTGGCCCTCACTCCAATCCATCACTGAAGAAGTTGGCCCGGTTGGGAGCATAGAAGCAGGTGTGCCTTTGTTATTGTTTGGGGCACCAAGCCCTTTTTCTGATTTCCAGGTGAACATGCCCCCCAGGCCCACTAGTGTGAGGGTAAGGGCATCAGTACTGTGGACTGCAGTAATTCTTTAAGTCATGGGTTAGGTTGTATAGGAACAAACGTTGGTAAAGTGAGTTCACAGAAGAAACATCCCTTGTTAGGATAGAAAAGATTATAGAATGTTGCTACATTACTCTTGTGAACCAATGAATTATTTGTACATTGGTTATTACCAGGAATGTAAATTTCAACTTAATTTTATTCATAGTCATAATCATGTGTTGATCTGCCTGTTGGCTTTTTTCTTAAGATTGCAACACCAGCGCGCTACACCGTGACCTTGGGAGGAACCTCCTTTACCGTGAAGTATTTGCGCAGTCATGGATACATGTCCACACCACCCCCTGTCAAGGAGTATCTACAAGACAGGATGGAAGAGACCAAGGAGCTCATCACAGAGAAAATGGAAGAGACTAAGGATAGACTCACTGAAAAACTACATGAAACCAAAGAAAAAGTTTCTTTTAAGAAAAAAGTGGAATAGGGTGCCTTGTATAACAAATTATAGAAAGTTCCTGCACTTTAACCCTCTGAAGACTTTGGGCAAAGATAACAAGCTTCTGATTATTTTTTGATTAGTTGCCTAAGTAGACCAGTTCTCTGAGGGTTAAAGAATTAAGATACCTTTTTAAAGTTTTTAAAGTTAAATATCCTACAAAAATCAGTGTTTAAGAGGAAGAAATGAGCCTAGTATAGGATTGTATATCAGTGGCAGAAGGAAGCAGTGGCTACTGTTTTAGAATCCAGGGTTCTCTTCCTGGGTCTTCAGGATCTCTCTGCTTCATGTTCTCCAGTGTGTGCAGACCAGACCGTTGACTTCTTGAATAACCATGGCCCGTAGGCAGAGTGCTGATACTGGGGCTTAGTCTTCGTGTTATTCATTAAGGTTTTAACTATATTCAGTTCTCTGTGGAGACAGACTTGCACCTGTGAATAGGAGGGTATTAGTCTTTCTATGAAAAAGATCTAAAGTTTACTTACTAGTTAAAAATATAATCTTATATGAAGAAAGTGGAATAAAAATTGAATCCTATATATAAATAAGATGAATTGGTTACAGATAAGTGAAAAATGGACCCTTTCGAGATGACTTTTACCCAAAGCTTGTCAAAATCACTTTTTTAAAGCAATTATACAGCCAAAATGCCTTTTCAAAATTGGGTATTGGTTGTGGCCACTTAGAATATCACTTTCCAGTGAATCACTTCCTGTCGTCTTTACCTAATCTTTCAAGGAGAATTGAAGGTTTTATTAAGTTTATGGTTGAAATCAGATCTTCTTCAATAGCATCTCAGGCTCATGATTCCCAGCAGGGAGAGATTTGTGAGACCACAGGTGGGACCAGGATACTGTGGGGACAGCACTGCCCCTGGGCCAGAGGGGCCTTCTCCCAGAAAGGTAGTGCGACCTCCCAGTATCCAATCTCAGAGTTGGTGTTGATTTCATATGGAGTGAATCTTACAATTGTGGCTGCTGCTTTCTCTCACATTGAAGGAAAATACCCTTGCTTTAGTGTTCTACTTGATTGTTTTATATCGAATCTATCACTATCATTAAACTCTTTGCTTAGAATGAAATCTAGTGGTTGTCAGAAACTATGGGGGTGTACTTGGGTATGTGTGTGTTTTCTTTTATACTAACAACTTCTACTTCAGTTGCAGAGGAGGAAATGGCCCTTTCAGAGGCCGCTGCAAGAGAACGTCAGAGATTGCCTCGTGGCTATCCTGCACAATCCCTACTGTTTGGCAGGATTTTCCTATCAAATGTAAAGTTTAGAAAATAGTTCAAGGCTGGGACTATAGCTCAGTGGTAGAGCGCTTGCCTAGCATGTGTGAGGCACTGGGTTGGATCATAAGCACTACATAAAAATAAATAAATGAAGTCATTGTATCCAACTTCAACTAAAGAAAAACATTAAAAAACAAAAGAAGAAGAAAGTTCAAAGGGCAAAAATGTTGCATTTGACACCTCAGATTGCTCTGTAGGAAGTCCCTCAGGGACTGTGCTGTGTGGTTAGAATCTTCTTGGGTTGGGGAGTGGCGCAGGCACAGTGGTGCCTCTGCTTTGCTGGTGCGGGGTGCAGTGGGCTGCCTCATGTTGATGGCACAGTATCAGATTTAAATATGGTTACACATGTGAGCATGTCTGTAAAACAACTGGGATATGAAATGCTAAGATAGTAACAAATTTCTTGTTTCTTTTTATTCACTTTTGAGTGAATCTTACAGTTTCACTGGATTAAAATTGGTGTTACATGGAATTCTTTTTCCTAAGATAGTTTCCTTTTACCTTTCACAGTTTACAGGGGATATTAATTATAGGGATAAGTTGGGTTTATTAGACATTATTGATGATTTTGAGACTAAAATTTGCTTTTCCTGAGTAGGTATCTTTTATTAAGTCTATTTGAGTTTTGTCAGCAGTCCAGTTTCATAATTGTGTTTATCAAGATGCAAAAAATCAGATATTGCTTAGGCATGCTTTGAAGGTATGTGGTTAAACAAAACAAAACAAAACAAAAAACCTCTGAAGATTTGGGAAGTTCTGTGGTCATTATTTAGCATCATGATGGAGTGATAAAAATGTTGTTGCCAGCATATTCTTAATTTCTCCTTAAGGCTACAGAGAGCTTAGAGAGAGGGGCCCTTTAGTATATTGAGTTGGCAATATTTGTTGATAGTTGGCTTAGTACCTCAGGGCTCTGTGAGTCAGAACATCATGGTGGAAAAGTGTGGCAGAGGGAAACAGAGGTCTCCACTTGCCAGCAGATCATAGTAATGTGGCAAGTTAAATTATCTAATGTGTAAAATATACCATGCATTGTGTATAACGAGCCTCTTTCATTTGCAGTGGGCCTTTATGCTTTGGATTCATTCACCTATGGCTGCTTGAGCCGAAAGAGGCCGAGCAGCCTGTGCCTGATGTGCCAGTCCACACTCACTGGGAGGTAGCTTATGTAAAATGGGCAGAAAGGGTTTGCTTAACAAATTAATAATAATTAATTTATTAAAATTAAAAATACATTAGGTGAGAGACTTAGTTTTATTCAAGAATAAGAGCAAAACCAACCTTTGAAAGTGTCACATCAGGAAATGTCCATTACTGAGGCAGCCTTCCTGTTGCTCCTTGCTCTCCCTTCACTCACATCTTCTGTTTTGAACCTTAACCAACTTCAATGCTAGAAAATTATCTTTGGAAAACAGGTGCGTGTGGTAGGTGCCTCTCAGGCCTGGTGCAGGTGTATGTGCAAGTGACGGTGGCAGGGTAGCCTCAGGGCCCCAGTGCTTCTGTGGACTCAGCCTATTCCTAAGGAACACAGGGACACTCCTCTGCCAGTAACTGGTGCTGTCACTCAGCTCCTAGAGCAAGAACTCGGCTTCACCCTTGTTACTTAATGAACTTTTCCTTCACTTTTTAATCAAATACAATAGTGAAAGCTAACTTTTACTCCATTTTTGACAATTTCATAAAGCATGGCACATGAAATAATGACAAATCTGTATCTTCTCTTATACCAATTAGATCTGTAACTCCTTAAAACCAACCTCAGATTCTTTTTTGCTTTTTCTTTTTTACAAAGGAAATGCAGCATTTTCTGTGTACACACGTATTTCAGCTTTTACCTTGTTTGCACTTCTGAGTACTAGATTTGAGATTCTATGAGGGAAGCAAATTTTTACTAATTTGAATTGTATGGAATTTAAATCAATATTTTCTTTTCTCTGGACAGTTTAATATATGACTTGCTTTACTTCTATAAGAACAATGGCTACTCTGATTCTCTCAGGCAATGGGTGTGAGAATCTGTCACTGAGAGTCCTCTGCTATGGCATGGGATGGGGTGACAGAGCTTTGTTGCTCTGGTGCTCCATTGACATGCACTTTTTACCCCTCTATTAAAGCAGAGGCAGGATATGGTAGCACATAATTTGCATTCCTCGCTCTTTTTGGTCCAGAAATAAGAGACATGTCTCTGTCCCCCCACCAAAAGTTGAAAATGTTCTTAAACAAGTATGTCTTTGAAACCTAATGCACCTTTTAATTTTATGTTAATAGTTTTGTTTCTCAGTCACTACTCAAACCACAGTCTAGAGGACTGGAATTGGGCATTGAGGGCCTTACTTTTAGTAGGAAAAAGAGGCACAGAGAGCCAGATCTGAAGTGCAAATATTTACTTCCAGTTTTGTTTTGTTTTCTCTTTGGGGATCCTGGAGATTGAACTCAGGTGCACTCAGCCCCTGGGCCACACCCAGCCCTATTTTGTATTTTCTTTAGAGACAGGGTCTCACTGAGTTGCTTGGTGCCTTGCCATTGCTGATGCTGGCTTTGAACCCACAATCCTTCTGCCTCAGCCACCCGAGCTGCTGGGATTACAGCCATGCGCCACCACTCTAATTCCAGTTTGACAGTCACCTCGTTGCCTGGCATGCAGGAAAGCTAGGCCACTCTCTGGGACTTGTGGGTGCTTTAGAAGATAGAACTTGGGCCGATTCGTTAATATTCCACATCTTCTCTCTTCTGGTACCTTTCTTCTGACTTTCACTTCATTACTTTAGGTTTTTTTCAATCTCAGTTCTCTGTCTTCAAGGCCACAGGAAGAGTGTCACCACTGGTGACCTCAGTTTCTAACTCCAGGAAGGAAACATAAAGCTCCATTTTCCCCCTTAGCCTGGGAAGGAGTATGGAGTGGGACATCACAAGGGCAAGCCATGTCACCATCTGGGTGAGCCTGACCTCAGCACAGTGGTTAGGTAGCTGTTTTTATACATCTAAACAAGGTTAAATATTTCTCTCACCCAAGGAGGGTGTGAACACAGCATATGCCCTGTTGCCCCCTTGGTTCTCAGTGAGTTCTCCACTGCTCCCTTGCCCTGTGCCCAGGGCTGAACACCAGTCATGATGTCAGAGCCTGCATCTGTGGTGTATTTGGAGCCAGCTCAGATTGGAATTTTCCATTTAATTGCTGCCAATCACTAGAGCATCTGAACACCGGAAGCTGGTATTTCTGGAAATTTTTAATGCTGAGAAATTCAGAATATTCTTAAGAATTATTAGATTTCACTAAAATGTAGGCGTTGCCATCTCAAGTCCAGTGAGATTAAAACTTGCACCGTGTTGCATACCAGGCCTTGGCCAAGAGCACAGATGTCCTGTTCAGCGTTCTTCCTGCAGTTAGTGAGGAGGGAAAAGGCACCAGGCGCGTCTCCCACTGTGACAGCCCTGACGTGGAGTGGAATGCAGCATGGTAAAGCTGTGCCGTGTGCGCTGCTGGACAGCGATACCTGACCTGCCCAGTTGGGCTTGCTGTGCTGCCTCTGAGGCCTCTGCCCCTCGTGTGCATCTGATAAGCCCACGCTCTTCATGGCCGAGCAGCAAGTGGTAGACCTGGTGGGTTGTGCCTCCACATGGACACCAAGGGTGCAGGGGATTGCAGCCTCTTCTGTCCCTTGTCTTTAGCTCCTGGCTGAAACACAGAGGGAGACCAGCTGGGGAAGAAATGTCCATGAGAATTGCAGAAGATGCCTGCTCGCTGAGGGTGGGAGCCAGGTCATCAGCAAGGCGGGACTAGGTGCTGTGGGTCCCATTCCAGAGGCCAGTGTTCCGATAGGATAGGAGCAAGGAGAAGGCGGGTAACGGGCAAGAAGGAGATCACCTCCAGAGGTCACCTCAGACCTAAACTGGGCAAGGAGAGAATGGGCAGAAACAGCCAGGTCAAGAGTATCTCCCCCAAACCCATCATAAAAGAAATCCAGGAGGAGGAGAAAAACAGGAGCAGGAACAGGTGGGGTCCAGCAGTGTGAATAGGAAAGCTAGTTTGAACCTTTTGTTCTCCTTTTGGGATATTAACCTTACCTTACTAAGACTAAGAAATTCCACCCACCCCAATGTGCTTCATTAAAGATGAAAACAAAACCCAGCCCTCCATATTGTACATCTGAAATCTTAAGGTAAGAAGGTGGTATATTTAAAACCTATGGGAAGGAAGTTTGGAGCTGGTGACAGATTCTCCCTTAGTGTTGATTGTCCTAAGCTTTCTAGGGTTCTCATTGCTGGGACAGAAGCAGCACTGCCCATCTCTGCAGGGGCAGCAGTGAAGCACTGGGCAGGCCTACTGCAGTTTCCAAGTCTGCTGGGAAAATGTTGTTTTAAATTAAATCTGGAACATGAAACGTTGAACAGTAACAGCAGTCATTCCTGAGGCAGCCGTGGGCCGGTTGTGTATCTTCCCATTATAATACAATAGTGGTGGAGGTGACTGCCGTTATGCCTGGTTTATAGACAAAGACTTAAAACCATCCCTGTCAGTATCGTCAGTCACTTTAGGTGAAGCTCATGTAAACCCACCCTGGCTTGCAGGCCCCAAGGCCTGTATTGCCTTTAATGTCCAAGTGGCTCCTCACCTGACAAGAGACCCAAGCCAAAGACGCGGCATGGCAAGTGCAGCCTCAGCTTACCTAAAGAAGCCTGGGTTTCCAGCAGGTGGGCATCGGGCAGAGGCTGGGTGGACCTGGGGGTGAGGTGGGGCCTTTTTGTCTGGACTTCAGAACGTGTTTGCTCAATTTGCTAATGTAGATTGCTAGAACTTTCTGTGCTTACAGATGACTGCTAACAGTGGAGACAAATACAACTTTGAAAAGACTTTGTTGGCAGGTTAAATTAAATAAGAGCCCCTGATACAACCGTGGAGTTTTTAGCTTTTAAAAAAAATGTATGCTCTCACTGGTGAGGCCTTCTAAAAGTGTATTTTTAATCGCAGCTATGCTGTGTTCAAATGATTAAAACTGGAGCTTTCGCACTTCTGACATTTTTTTGAAAGTGAGAGTGTAAAGTCGGGTGAACGAGGTTTGCATTATTAGGGCAAAAGCTAATGTCTTGACAGAAACATGGCATTAAACCCGAATTAACAAATGCAGAGGTTTTACTTTGGGGCTGCAGTTTTTAAGTATGCATTTCAATTAGAATTCATTTAAACCAAACAGATCAAAACAGTATAATGAGGGAAATCTAATCATGATGTTCTAAGTCACAGGCTCATTATCAAGTGTTTTGTGTGTATCATCACAGGCAGAATTGCCTTTTATTCCAGAGCCACTCTGGGCTCTGAAAGGTTCCAGAGTATCATCAGCACCAGAACAGGGGAGCCTGGCAGTGTGATTCCTGGTGAATTTGGCCTACCAGACAGGTAGGCCAAAAACAAGCTAATGGTCAGAGTTGGTCAGAGAGAGCCAGGAATTGCTTAGCTTCACAACTGAGAGGAGTTTGGGGCAGGCAGCACTGGGGTCCAGTGGAGGATCCCCCGGGTCGCTAGGCTTGTAGCATAAGCAAGCCCAGGGCAGTAGAAACTTGTCAAGGAGAGGGTGCTGCTGTTAGGCCCTGAGCTTGACCAGAAAGCCACAGAGAAAGTGGACACTCAGTGCCCCCCCTTCCTGCCCTGGGCCTTGTGAGCACCTCCAACATGGCCTGTGGTGGAGGCTGCATGGGTTGGTTCTGGGGGCCTTTCCCAGAGTCTTCAGAACTTGCCCAGTTCTCATTCAGGGTACCTGGGAAGAAGGGAACACCTCAAGGGCCACCCTGGATGATGGGAGTGGAGTCCCAGTCTCCTGTCCTGCAAGGACATGCTATGTGGCTTTTCAAGACAGCTGACCAGAGAACCCAGCCTAGCAACACCTCTTACAATTCTCTAGTTGTCCTTTGGGAGTGGCTCCCAGATCCTTTATGGGACCTTAGCTTTGAGGCAAGCACACACCAAGCCACTCCCAGACTGACAGCATACCCGCTGGCAGAGGGGAGAGAAGGGCCTGCTTCTCAATTGTGACAGGAGGGCCCTAGGGTGACTATCAGGTTGAGACCTAGTCCTAAGCCCCCATTCTTTCCATATAGAACTTTCTCCTGGAGGAAAGTTCATGCTGGCGCCAGTGTGAGCAGTTCTGGGGGTCTATAGTTCCCTTCTGAGCTGCTGCACCAAAAGCTTACATAATTCATCGCCAAGCATAGTGTGGCTGGTGGTCACCAAAAAAAATCTATTCTTACCACTCCTGTTCCTTCTCAGGGCTCTTTTCTAATCCCTTTTCCAAAATATTTTGGAGGGTGAAACTGGGAACTAAGCCCAGGTGCACTTTACCACTGAACTACCTCCCTTTTTCTGCTGGTTTTTTTTTTTTTTTTTTTTTTTTTTTTTTTGAGACAAGGTCTCACTCCCTTGTCTCTTGGGATTGCAGGCATGTGCCACCTGCTTGGCTTTCCAAAAGGAAATTGATTCAGAATAAAAAATGGATGTTATAAGTGGGATTTCAGGCCCATACAACTACTTTGATAGTATTTTTTAAATTTTAGTTTCTATTTGTTCATTAAAAGTACATAAAAAGGCAATAATGAATTGTCTTGTAGCCATGCTAAGTTCACTTGTGATGAACTTGGTAGGTTGTGTAGGGTTTTGTGCATTCACAGCCTCCTCATCTGGAATCCACATGCTTATGTAGACCTTAGAACATTCTCATCTCAGTGCAGACTGTGGCCTGTGAAGCCCTGCAGTGCTGAGGAATCTAAACCTGCTGAGGCAGTTTGTCCCATTGCTGAACAGCTCTCGTCAGAAACCTTAATTCCTATTCAGGCCGAGTCTCCTTTGCTCGCTGTGACAGCAATCCACAGTCCCCCGTGGGTCCACCGTTCTCTTGGCAGCCCCCCACCCCCACCCCAGGAACCCTCTCTGAGTGCTCTGTGCAGGACTCAGAATAAGAGAATCTTGTGAAGTGACCTGACCAGAGTTGTTTCTGGCACACTTGTCATTTGGTCAAGAGTGACAAGCTGAGAGGAGCCTGAGCTGGGGACCATCAGAAGTGCTTCTCTGGGCCCAGGCTCCACTCAGTGGTAGAGCACCTGCCTGGCCCACGGAGGCCCCAGGCTCCATCCCCAGCACCAGCACCACGAAATAAGAAGTGTTTCTGTGAGAGGTCCTAAACATGTCAGTTTACACATTTGTTGTGACTGAAAGATAAACAGACAAACCATGGGACAAATGTATGTCACTGATTTTTTTTTTAATGATTTTTTGTGCTATGGTTTGACCACAGCATTAAGAACGAGCAGAAAAACCTGATTTCAAAAATGACACACAGCATTCGCAGAAGAGCATCTTTTTTTAAGAGCCTTGCTATTACAGACCTTGGGCTTAAGGACTAATCCCCAGTGTTCAGGTGAAGGAGGTGGATACAGGAGAGTCAGGGTTCTCTCTGCACCTGGGAGGTATGTTGAAAATCAAGCACAAATGGTTGTTTTAAAAAAGGACTTTAATGACTTCTGATTATCATAGCTCACAAAGATTGAAAAGTTCAAATACAGCTGTACTTTTTTAGTAGATTGCTTTGTTATAAAAATTAAATGAACTAAATGCTGTGAATAATATTATATATTTTTAAACAGCTTTAAACTAGACAAGAATACAATGACAATGTGAATTTTGAAAGCCATGAAAATAACACAGTGATACAACAACAAGCATGTTAAATGGAACCAGTATCATGGACTAGAAGGTCTCGGCCTCAGTTGGGTCTGCAGAAAGAAAGCAATGCTGTGGCTGTACAAGTTGGTACCTCTACAGACGTGTCCAGAACATTCTCACATGCACCAGACCCAGGGTGGCAGCTTCGTTTCTGAATCTCAATGCTGGTCCCAGTGTGCCCTGCAGGTGCCAGTGGTACTGCCTCCTGGGACCCAACACAAATGGGCACTTGTTCATGGCGCTTTCAGAATGCGCTAAAGGAAGGCCAACCTAATCCTAATCCCCCAGCATTTGAGATTTGCATTGTAGAGGTGTTTGGATTAAGGATAACCAGTAATGACATTTTCTGGAAGGTAGAAGGATGATTGTATTGTGACTTTCAAAACTAACATCAAAGTAAATTAAAAATATGGACTCTATTAGACTATTCCAGTGACAGAATAGACTGGGATCATGAATCAGATGGGCAGAACTGTGTGAAGTGCCCTGCTGGACAACACTTGATGCCCACACCAACATTCAGCAGTGGTTTCTATGGACACGGTGTTACAGACCTTTTATTTGTTTGGAAAAAAAAAAATAGACTCTCTGAAGAAAAACAGGTGACAATGAGACACCAAAAACTGAGCTGAAAGAGGCATGACTTCATGTGCAACTGGAATTGTAACCTCTACCCAAAAACCCCGCTGGCATTTTGGGTCAGGACTGACATAGGACAACCACAGGGATGGCTCGAGCATCCTGGCCTGGCTGGCTGACACTGATTTTCTGATGCTAACCCATGGCACACACTGTTCCTGAGACCAGGGTCCACCACACAGGTTGGTTTTTCCTGAGGTGCTCTCTCCCTACAAAACCCCCTCTTCACTGGCTCCACAGCTTCAGTTCACAAGAGGAAAAGGCACAGAGAAACTCCGGACACACATGGTCACAAATGCTCCAAAGCCCAACAGAGTCCTCTGCTGCAGGCCGGCCCGTCACTCTGACATGACAAAACCCTGTGCTTCTCACTGAGGCCCAAGCCCTTCACGCACCACCAGGTAATGTCTGCTCACAAAGCAAGTTGAAGTCATTTTTTTCTGACTCAAATATAACTAACGCTTGTCCAGCTGAGCGTTTCTAAAGTGACTAAAATAAGAAGCATCTAGTGGCAACCATAAAGCTGTGCGACTTTTAAAAAATATTTTCCAAAGTGTTTTCACAGCAAAGATGCAACTCAATTGCTATATATACGCTGGTCATAAGCTGTCGCTTGTTTGTTCAGACTTCTTTCCCTTGTGTTATAATATTGGTATTTAATAGGAAAATAAACTACATAGACTTTATCTGTATGCATCCATTTGCAAATTTCCTTACAAAAGAGGACCAAGCACATAGGCATTCACAAATTCTATGCCATTTCTGTTAAAATTGGTATCATCTATACATTATAGTACAGTATTAACAATTTTTGTTCTACCCATTGGGTAGGATATGGGCATAATATATTCAACTTATATACAGCACCTTACAAATAAAAACGTAAGAGAAGACAGACAACTGAAGAAGCACCATTTTGAGTGAGGCACAACAAAGGTCAGGGCGTGGAGCGCAGGAGCAGGGCTGGGTTGCTGCATCTGCTGAAGCCAGACGGGAGGCACCTTGACTGCTTAGAGACATGCAGAGCTGGAGATGACAGGGTGTCACACGTGCACACTACTCTGCCCAGCTCAAATGCTTGGCGCAAAGGCCAGGGGAAGAAGGCGCTGCATTCTCAGCAAGATGTCCCCACGCCGGACCAAGCCTCTGCCGTGCACAACTCAGGATCAGGGGCAGCAGCAAGTGTCTAACTCTGGCACTAACATCAACCTGCACTAAGCAAGAGCTTTAGGCATTAAATGACATCTTGAATCCTAACACCTGTGTGCTGCCGAAGGCTAGGAGGGCACATCTCTGGTCTCGGGGCAGCTGACAGCCTCTAACCTGCCACTGAGAACTCACTTGTGACCTGGGTGCAGAGTTCCTTTTTTTCTTTTTCTAATACAGACTGCTTCACAGGGCATGTTGTCCTTGCTCAGGGGCCATTGCCAATTTTCAGCGTTCCAACTTAAGTATGTGTGCCTCCAAAGCAAGCACCAGGCAGTTTCGTGATTGGTGACTGTGTGGGCCACTGTTAACTACTGTTCTCAAGCTGAGAAAAGGATGCTGCCCTCCTTGCCACTTTGTCTCCCAGCAGTGGCCTTTTCCCTAAGCAGGCTGAAGGCATGGCCTTCTACTGCAGTGTGAATAGGAGGATCAGGGGGCTGTGCTCATGAGACTTGGGCTTGGCTCCAAGCACTGGCTTCAGTCACTTAGACAAGAAAAGCAAAAAGATAGCAGAAAGCAAGTATTCTCACATCCCTTCCCTCACACTGCAGAGGTTTGGGGATTTTATGAAAGTGTGATAGTGTGCAAGAGAGTTACACTCAGCAAGCACCAGCACAGTGCACTCGGTGGCCATGATTCCCCAGTAGCATCAGCAGAGGTGAGAGGAGACTGTGGGTGACTACTGCCATGTGGGGCTGCCCTCTGTATCTATCAACAAGTACGTACAAGTTCAAAGCCAGCCTCAGCAACTTACCAAGGCCCTAAGCACATAGCAAGACCTTGTCTCTAAATTTTTAAAAATGGGCTGGTGATGTGGCTTAGTGGTAAATCACCCCTAGGTTCAATCTCCAGTACAGAAAAAAAAAAAAAAGTATGTGGACTGAGTGTATTTTTTTAAGTCCTCTACCCAGGAGCCTCTCTGAAAGAACTGTTGGATGGACCATGGAGGGTCTACTGGCTCTGAGGGGAAGGCAGGGGTCAGAGTGGAATCCTCTAGATCAGAGCTTTCTGAAGGTCCTTCCTTTTGAACCTCTCTCATTCTTAGAAAGATAAATGTGAAGATCAAGTTCAGGAAACAGTTATCTGGGGACCCAGTGCCATTGCTGCTCTGAGACCTCCCAGGTTATGGTGGGCTCGCATTTGCTCACTCAAGTTTGAGCTTCAGTAGTAAACAGTGTATCCTCATGGTACATCTGTTCTCGGCTACCTTGAGATTTTTCCTGGGCTGGTGTGTTATGATGGGCAGGGGTGTGTGGAAGGACAGAGAGCATGCTTGTCAAACTGCTTTATCAATCAATTATGAACATGAAAAATAGATCAACTAGTTAACTCATTAATTTTCCGCATTGGTGGGGATGAAAGCCAGGCCTTGCCCATGCTAGGCCAGCCCTCTGTCCTGAGCCATGCCATGCCCCCAGCTAATGGTGGAGCTAATGGGTAAATTCACTGGTTTTTCTAGAATTGCAGGCGAAATTTGGAATGATGAAGTCATGAGCTGATCTTCTCACCTGTGTCTCAGGGGACACCTAACTGATAATCCAGCCATCAACTTTTTAAATGTGTGATTTGTTTCACAATCTCTTGCTTAAAGATTGCTTGGTATTTGGAAAATGCTATTGTTTCTGAACAAGCAGAGGTAAGCTAGAAGACAGTTCCTACAGGTGGGGTTCAGCAGGGCTTAGGTTTAGAACTCCCGGAAATCCCAATGACAAGGGACAAAAGTCTCAGTGGTATGCTAGGAGTTTCGCTCTCTAACTGTTGCAGTGTTCTGTGGGAATAATCCGTGATTATAGACCTTTCAGACCCTGAATCGCTGGTTTCACCAGCACATGGGCTTGGCCTGCATCACCACAAACACTGCTTGTTCAACACCTCATGAGCTGGGAGGCCACAACCTTCAGAAGAGCTGCTGATCTAAATCTCCTCCCTGTGTCAAGGGAAATTGACTATTAATCCAATTTATGACCTTGGCTTTTAAACTAATTCATTACTGAGGCCCAGCCTCAAAGACCTTTCAAAGTCAAGCTTTACTATGTTTGTGTCTTTGCAACAACTGATTAACTTACAAGGCAATTCTCTAGGGTACCTGAAGGGTGGGGGACTCCTTTTGAAGGATGATTAAAGCTACTTGAATTAAATGATTGTTTTGCCAATACTATCGACATCTACAGAATGTCCTTACACTTTTGAGGCTACTAAAGAATTTACAAGTCTCAGGCCTTAGCCCTTTCCTGTAGCAGGTAGCAAAGTAAGACTCATGAAGCCATCTGAGGTGGAGCTAATAGGTGGATTTACTGGCTTTTCTAGAACTGCAGGCAAGATTTGGAATGATGAAGCCGTGAGCTGATCTCACCTGTGTCTCAGGGGACACCTGACTGATCATCCAGCCATACCAAGTCCCCACCAGTGAGATCCCATTCTGGATGAGTGTCTCCTCACCTTTGTGTCATGGACCCAGTTTCTCTCAAACACAGGTGTGACACCCAGGGAGTGAGGGACCTTTCAGGAAGCCTCCAGAGTCATGAAAAGGGCCATCTCTGGCCCCAAGACAACCCCTGCCCTGAGGGCTGGTTTCTCCCTGCTTGATAGAGGCCTTCAGAAAGAAGGTCTTTGGAATGAGACTGAAGCCAACCTCAGAATTTCCACTGCAACCCTCAAACGCAGTCCTCCCAGGCAGGGTTCTGGGTATGAGCTAACAACTGCTGGCCATCTGTCTCTCTCCTAGTTCTATGGATGTTACTATGTGAAATGTATCTATCTAAGGGAAGGTCCAAACCTCAAAACAAATGCAGCAACTTACCTACTGAGGAAGCAGCAGAAGCAAGCAGCAGATTGGAATCAGACAGGACAAGGGCTTGCAAACAAGTCTCCAGCTCTCAGCAAGCTACACAGAGACATGTGTCTGAGGAATTGCCTCCAAGAACACAGTCACACACACACACACACACACACACACACATACACACACACAACTTGACATTCGAGCCGCATAGCTGGTAGTCACAGGTCACCATTCCATTGGTCTTGTTATGTGCAGAGGCCAGAGAGGCCCAGTGGAAAGCAGCCTGGCCACTGCAGATAAGTCCTTCGCCTGGTGCAGAACATGTTAACCTGACCAGCTGCTGCTGTGACAAAGCCAGTGCTTACAACTGCAGAAGAAAGTTTTTTTGTTTTGTTTTTTAATCTGTGAGAATGAATGTTTGCAAATGTTAGGAATATTAAAACTAAGACATTATATAGAATCAATTTTCTGGTTGCATCTTAACTGCGGGTTGTGCTTTTTGTCCTGTGCTATTACAGTCACACCCCCACCTGCCCCTGTCCTCTAACTGACCCCCTGGTCCTTGCCATCAACAGGGAGGCTGCTGGGGGCAGGGGAGATGGAATCCCTGTGGGAGTTTAGGCAGGTCTGCAGGCTGAGTTCCATGTGACACTTGTGAAATGCAATGGCTTGTTACCATGACTGGTAGACAAGGTGCCCTTCCATCAGTTCCAAGGACCTCTGCCAGCATGGCTCACACAGCAAGTGCTGGGCAAGCTGTATGCAGGTGGCCGCTGGGAGCCTCTGGGTGAACTGACCGGCCTTGCAGAACTGAACTGAGCTACCTGGGAAAGGGGAGAGGCAACGGGACACACTGAGAGTCACATATTTCAGCAGTATGCAAAATAACCACCTTGCATTTTAAACAATTTATTGCAAAAAAAAATATGTATCTGAATATATTTCATGCTACAGTGGAAAAAAATCTAAATTACTGGAGGAACTACACTGCTGGCGGGCAAGGGCGGCACTGCACGATACTGGATACATAAATGCATTTGTTCATTTTTAATAAAGTATGCAGCCTAAAACTAGCAGAGTAATTCAAATAAGCCAGAAATGCCGGAACTTAGTATTTCCTATCTTCCATCCCAGTGTCTCCTGGTGCCTCAGTGATGCACCAGGTAGGATGCAAACTCCTGCAGCAAGCAGCACTGGGCTGATTTACAGAATTTGGTAAATATTAGGCTACATCCCCAAATACGCTTTCTTGTGTGATTCTGGGATCACTCTAGGCTGTTCTTCAGGCCTAATAACCACCCACAGGGAAAAGACAAGCAACATACAGAAGTTCACGCAAAACAGTTCCCTCATATATATTTTAAACATCAATAGTGCAACTTTGGAAACACACCATCTCAACAAAGAATAGCTCCTTGCATTCATCTAACTTCTCCACTTTATACCTTGGCACACAAAACAGGAATTTTGCTTCATATTTTTAGAACAAAATAAAAGTTCCACACCTTGGGAGAAAAAGCCACAGGGCTGATTCTTCCCCATGATAATATATCATAACGCTTCCTTCTTTATTCAGTTAGTTACAAAACAGGCCATTCTGGCCTCATTTAAACTATGAAGTCTCCTTTCGGAATTAAATAAATCAAATACCTCTGTGGTTCTTATTTCATGATATCTTCAAAGCATCCCTTCTCTGTTTCCCTGCCCACCCTTTGCCAAAATCTTCCCCCATCCCCACCCTGCCCCCAAATCAACACCGTTGGCGGTCAGACCGGATGGAAGTCCGCATCCTCTCAGTCTCCTTCGCATGCAACTCCCCTGAAAGGAATCAGAAACAAAGACCGTGTTTGCACATTTGGTTTTACTTAGTTGTACCACGTGAAACCGGACAACACCGTGCGCCGGAGGGTGGCGCAGCCTCTTCCCCTCCTCGGTTCCTCTCCTCGATTCAAGTGCGCCTGGAGGGGTCAGACCAGGTTCCCGGGCTTCCTGTCTTTGCCCTTGATGGGGACTATTGTGCTCTCTGAATTGTTCTGCTGAAACTGCAGTCTGCTGCCGCCGTGTGTGTTGCTGTGCTGGTGATGGAAGAAGGAGGCGCCTGGGTAGTGGCCCATCACCTCGCTGTAGGTGGGGGGCGGCCCCTCCATCCTCCCGTTACTGCTGCAGGTGGTCGCGCTGATGCCCGAGTTGCTGCTGGGCGGGCAGGGGCCCCCGTTGTACACGGAAATGTCTATCAAATCACTGTCAAATATGGTTCGGTTGGGCGGGGCCCTCACAGACTCTCGGTTGAGTTCCATCTGCTGTTCGGGGTCCCGGAGCTGCAGGGTGCAGGGCCCCTGGTAAGGAGGCGGCTCTTCCCCGTCCGACAGGGAGATGGTGGGAGGGAGGTCAATCTCGTGCTGCACATAGGGGTAGGTGGGCTGGAAGCGACTGAACCGATCCCTCTGGATAAAGGACGGGGCAGTAAACCTGTCCCTGGCCCGAGGGGCGTACATGATCTGGAAGGAAAAAAGGAGAGGCCTGAAGATGCTCTCAGCACAGAGATCAGGGTGGAATGTTCTCACCCCTTGGCCATCCTCTCCCCCACCCTTGCAGGCAAGACAGGAGAAGACTTCCAGGAACCAAAAATAGCTGTCCTATCCCTAATGACTTAGGCCACTCTCTATGCCAAGCTACACTGTATTCGGGACAGTTGTGCAATGGAGAGCCGCAGCCGGCTGGGAATCTGGGTGAACAGTTAATTGTGCAGGTTGGGGCTACAGTTTCAAGGGTTCAAATGGGACCCAGCAGTAACCCCAAGAGGGCGCTGAACAGGAAAGGAGCAAAGAGCGCCCTGCAGTTGGCTCAGGACCTTCTCCAGGCATTGGTGGCTTTGAGCTACGAGACAGCACAGGCCACCAGCTTTCTCAGGTCCCTGCCAGCCCCTGCCAGCCAGTTGAATGGTCTTAATATTTTCTATAAAAACTGGGAAAGTGACCTTTTTTCTTTCAATTTCTAGACTTTCCCAGTTATTTGGATTCTGGATATATGTTTCCTGTATGGCTTTTAGCCACTAATATGAAAAGTGTTTTATATTCAAAGTAAATATGATTATAGTTTTTCCCAAAAAAATAAATCTAGGTAGTGTACGTCTTACAAAATCCTCTTGTTTATTCCACCATCAAAATTTCTTCGAGGAGACAGATCTTCCAGGCACAAGTGTGTGCATGTCTATATGTATACTCCTATATTAATACATACATATATATGTATAGACACAAATATAGTCACTGGTTTCTCTCACACCATTATTTTTAACTTAAAAGGAAAAAAAATCATGTTTTAAAATTAAACTTGATGATGGGGGACTACATCAGTATTTGACATGTACAAACTGCCCAGACCTGCCAAGCCACATCACTGGGCTTTCAGGATCATGCAAAGATAAGGGATTCCTGCTCTTTGCAAGTTAGACCAGCATAAATAACGCCCGAGAAGATTCCAGGGGAAATCTCCTCTCCTTCTTAACCAAAGTTATAGGCCATGTCTTAACCCCGGGCTGTGGCTGTGACTCTCCCTCCACCCCTTCTGCCACCCCTTACCTCAGAGGCCCCTGGCCGTGGCACCGAGCTGCCTGAAGGCCACAGGCACCCTTCCTGGAGGTGGGAGGGGAGAGAAGCAAGGAACAAGAAACAGAAGAGAACCATTAGTCTCACCCCAGTGGCAGTAGCACCCAACAACCTGAAACACAACTTACTGAAAGGGGGTCCCCTGGCTGCTTGGACGGTGGTCACCCTGTCTAGAACTGGAATAAGAAAGAACTGGTCCTTGGTACCCCTCACACCCAAATGGAGGGCTGGGACAATAGGAAGAGTTACCAAACGTATTAGTTCCTGGCCACAGTGGACGTGGAGCACATTTGAAGTCTATTACTGAATCTCTACCCTCATGGGCTTCAGAATGACCATGAACCCTGTTCAGCCGCTGCCTGGAATTGGGGAGTGTGGGTCAACTACGCAGGCGGAGGCTGCTCCACCCCATATGCCCACATGCTGGGGCACTCAGCACAAAACCCATTCCCAAAGCCTGAGTGCTCCTCCAACGTCCCCGGTGATTTTATTTCCCACAGGTATATTCACAGGTATAAATGAACATCTAGTTGTTTCATGTATTTCCTTCAAAAGTGTTTGGTGAGGCTGACGAGCAGCAAGGGAGAGTCGCTTCTAACACCATGAACATTCTCTCACAGAGTCCTTGGGCCCAGGTTTTGGTTACTTGGAGGGCCAGCTGGGCTATCAGCTACAGCCCTAAGCTGCCTGTTACTGCTACAGAAACCTGTATTTTTAGATTCCCAGGAATATGTATACTTGACCTTTAGAGATCACTCAGTCTCCCCAGAGCCCAAAAATGTCCCTAAGTAAAGACCTCCACAGTCAAACGCCCCAGCCCCTCAGACGCAAGGCCACGCTGTTCTTTTCTGTGGCCAGCGTCCGTTCTAGTATAAATACCTCCTCCTGGCTAAACAGGGTGTTTGTCCAACTCACACAACCGTTCCTAAGATACTCCAGGCCACTCGGAATCAGCAGCAAAAATACAAACCAACCCAGCTGTGTTTAGAGGAAGCGTGGGCTTAAGGGTCTGACTATAAAGTTACGTAATGGACCATGACAGCTCTGGCGCGGTGACAGGTGAGGGACCAGACTTGAATCAAGTGGCGACCTTGCAGTGAAGTGGCCGGCGCCAGCCCTCAGCTCCTGCTCCCCGACCCCACCCCTGTCAAAGACGGCACTGGATTCCAGATGGCGGTGGAGACTCTGGTGCTGAAAACAGCTCGCAGCGTCCTCCTGAAGTGCCTGGGGCTCCCACTGCCAACCTGCCTATCGGCCACTGTCACTGCTCCTCCCAGAGCTCTTCTTTTCCAGGGACCTCAGTGTTGTACTCTAGCACACAGGGCAGAGAGAAGCCCGGTGCCCTCTGATGGCCAGAAACAAGGCCACCAGGAGTCCCCAAAATCGAGGCTTCTGTTATCTCAAAATGACAGTCCTCATCTCTCGTGGCTTCATCGCCCTAGACATTGGCAGAACCAGCAAAGGCCCACAAGGGCTCCAGGTCACCTGGGCGCTGGCTTGCGCTGAGCCCACTGGCACGAGCTCCCTCCCCCGTCCCACTGTTCCAGAGCAAGTACCCTGGTCGCCTCACCTGCACTCTGCTGCCACTGCGGAGCCTGGGGGCCCTGTCGAGGCCTCCCTCTCACTAGCATTGCCCGGGCCCTCCCCACAGCCACCAGGCCTGGGGCTCCCAAGTCTCCTGTCTGCGGAGTTCGCGGACTCCTCCCCAAGCCCTTGCTCTGCCATGTGGCCAGCCCTCAGCCCCAAAGCCAGTCCTGTGTTCACCTCCAGAGAGCTCTCCTTCCCTGCCCCCAGCCAGGACCCTGATGGCCACAGGGATCCCAGGGCTGCCTCCTTTGTCCCTCCAGGGGGAGGCCCAGCCTGCTTCTCTTCCTGTCTCTGCAGCTGCCACAGTTTCCCTGTCAGTGACGACCTTCCTTCTCTTTAGGACACTCACAGTCCCCAGAACTGGCAGCTGTTGTGTCTTGTCATGCTTGCTTCATCTTTTCCTCTAAATGTGAACTTAAAAAAAAATTCCACAGACATGTGCATGTTTTTCCTTACAATGGCCATCATAGGTGAGCAATACACAGGGACTCGTCCTGCCCTGGGGTCTTCTGGAAGGAGCTCTGGGAGCAACTTTTAAAAAGCAGGAGCCCTGCGCTTGACGCATGGTAATGTGCAATGAATTTAAATTGCTACACAAGCAACCAATTCCTTCTTAAATTTGGCGAAAGCCTGCTCTCTCCCAGGAGAGCCTCAGCAGAATATTTGCACACCGGAAGGTGTGTGAGCCCGTCCCACTGTGGGCCCCTCTTCTCACACCGCACCCAGAGCCTGGCTCTGTGGCTCACAGGAGAGGCTCTGACCAGCTATGGGGAAACCACCAGAGCCCTCACTTGTCACCTGGTCCCGAGCTGGCGTGGCTGTGGCCTGCCATCTCCCAGCCATGATTCATGATGTACCTCCCCACGGCTGCTCTTGACCAGGCCACCATGGCCAGGTAGGGAGAGGGTCAGGGCACACACGTGTTCCACACATGCCAGTATCAGTGTCCTGTCTGCTCCTGTTGCTCAAAGCAAGTGCACAGCTCTTCCCTACACACTTGCTAGCTTGGGAGAAAACAAGTGTCCTGCCCTGAGGTCCCTAAAGCCAGAGGGCAGATCCTGGAGCAGGAGGAGGGGGACCAACGGGGAAGAGGCATTCAGGCCCCTCTTCTCCAGAATGTCACTGCACGTCTGTGAGCAGGGGTGACTTGGTGGGCGGAACTCCTCCTGCCTAGCTCTTGTTTTTTCAGGAATAATACAAAAGTGACATTAAATCTCCATGGGAGGAAGTGCCTCCATCATCCCATCCCCCTAATACTTTAGCAATTTTCTGATTTCGAACGCTTTCCCAGCTGGACGCTGAGCAGGAGCATCTTCGGCTCCGGCCATGCCTTCCTCTGCAGCAGGCCCAGGCACCACCCTCCACCAGCGCTGTCCCCAGCTTCACTGAGGCAAGATCGAAAAAAACGACACCGTCGCTTCTATTTTAGCAACTACATAACTCAGAATTTATTTAACTGCTTGCTGACAACGGCCCTCTGCCTGTTCACTTGCTCTCACAGAACTCCTTCCCAGCCCTTTCACCCTGCAGCACAGACACCTGCTGTGGGGACCACAATGGGCCAACAGTCAGAGAAGCTGTCACTCCACTCCTGGGCCCAATGCCACTGGGCACAGAACCCAGACCTGAGAGCCACCAGAGCTGGATCCCCCCACCCTGATCGTCACCTGGTGCTCACTCCAGTCTCTGGTCTCTCCCTCACAGTGGTCACATGCTCCATGGGCAAAGTCACCCTAGGGTGGTTGGTGGAGCTGCAGGTTGTGCTCACCCTTTGTGTGGGGAGAACCTCCCTCTGAGTGGTCAAGGAGTGACCTGGCACTGTGCCCCGTGTCCCGAGGGCCTCGCACCAGTTGAGAAACCGAGGATTGCTGGATACGACGATGTGGTCCCCTTGTCCAGTCACCTTGGTTTCTTCACCTCCAAATGCCAGGGAGAAGGGCTTCCCCCCACAGCTGGCACCTGCTGGAATGGCCACACTCCTTGGCACTCCTCGGCACTCCTCGGGGAGCCAGCAGGGATCTGAAGGAGGAAGGTGGGCGCTCTGTCTGGGCTGCACGGCTCCCCTCCCGTCGCTGCCCGACAGTAGCTTGAGGAGTTCACAGAATGCGACAAGAACGGAACGTCACCACGCATCTTACAGAGGTTTCAATGCCTCCCCTCTTTTGCAGGATCATTCCTCACAGGACCCCTGCTAAGGAAGGGAAGCAGGACACGTCTGATCCATGCTACTTCCTTACACCACTACTAGGGACGTCCTTGCCGAGGACCTGGGTCCCTCACAAGGCGGCACCTGAGACCAGGTCACGCAAGCCCGCCAGGTGTTCCTGCTGCACCCTCCTTGGGGTGGGGGTCAGTTGAGAGACAGTCAGGTGTCTCTACAACTCTCAGGGCTCCTGCTGGCACCCTGACCCCTCATTCCACTTCAGGAAGCATTCCAGAATGTGAGGGGGTCGGAGGGATCCTCCTCCTCTGGGACCACTTTGAATCAACTCTGGTCTGTTTGCTAAGGGGCACTATACTCAAATGGCTCACGTCTTACACAGTCTCTGCACTGGCTCCTTGAGCTGTGCATCGTGTGTCTGGGCAGGACACCTGCTCCAGGAAGCTTACAAGAGGGCACCCAGTCCTGGGGCAGGGGGCTCCAGCGGAGGGAGCTAGCCTCAGGGTGCCGCAGTGCCCTACAAGCAAGCACGTTCCTGATTCTCTAATATTCCCCCTGGAACAAAGCCATTAACAGACGAGGTAACCACCAGCTGTCGGAGGGCAATTTCACATTACCCAGACAGGTGATAACAATGGTGGGTCCAGGTGTGGAGGGGGCATGGGAAGCCAGACTCCTGGCCCCGAGTTTCCTGTCCGTGAGCTCTTGGCTTCTCCAAGCCTCGCTTTCCTTATTTGTGGAAGGAGCCTGTCAAGAGGCTCAAACACCATATATGACAATCCCTGCACCAGCGCCTTGGTGTGATACTCAGTAAATGGCTGCTGTGCCCATCGCAGGCGGTGGTTACCAGCTGTTTTTATGCTCTATTAGAGGGGACCGTTTCCTGTTCTCTCTCTGAAGACATGCCTTTTAAAATAGCAAGTTCCTTAAGTTATTCTTATTATTTTCAAATATTCCAAAGGTGGTGTTTTGAACAGGAAGGCGGGGAGAGGGCCGCTCGCGGCTCCCTCTAGAGCTCTCCAGGAGCTAGCTCCTCCTCGGGCAGGGAGCCAGCCACACACGGCCCCAGCAGCGGCTCTTCGGGCTCTTCTCCTCAAGGCTGCCCACCGAGACTCCTGGATGCCAAATCCCCGGACGCCACAGAACAAAAGCCAGCGGTTGCAGGAGGACGCCTGAGCTCTGGACACCTTGGTCCAGCCTGGCAAGTAGCTGCCCCAGAGGAAGCTGCCACAGCTGTAAACCTCGGCAGTGGACAGGGGGAAATACAGTGATTTTATAG